GCGCTATGCGGCAATTTGGGCCCTACCCCAAACCCTAAAGGTTTGCGTGTGGCTTTTGCCGGAGACCGAGGCTTAAGCCTTCAGGTCTTCGGCTTACGCTTTGTCACGGAAGGTTCACGTAGCCGTTGATGACAAATTTCGGAGTAGTCGTCAAGCAGAGCTGCTGCGTAGAAGAAACTGTTAAACTTTCACAACCCTGATGCGAACCCGAGGCTCTAACCCCTAAACCCTAAACCCTTCAAGTTTGACGTGTGAGGTCCCAAGTCTTGACTGAATTCTTAGCGGGCTTCGGACGGTCGGATACCTGAGTAACTGGAAAGACCATGCCGGGCTGTGTCAAATAATGGACCCCTTTCGTGTCTTCATGCGACTTGCTGGAATCCGATTAGGCCTTCGGAAGCTGTCGGAAGCCCATGAAGCCATGAATATGAAATTGAGAACCAATCGTAGGAAGAGCTTGTCTCTAACAGAAGCCCATGTGCGAGTGTCTTAAGCCCTATAGAGCCAAAGGGTCCTAAGTACCTCTACAGTAGAATGTAGGGTTTCTGTACTAGGAACTACTACTATGGTTTAGGGAAGTGTCCCCCATAAGAGTTATTAGGACCCTTTGGGAGAGCCAAGACCTTTCGCTCAGGCGGTGTCGTCTGTGTTGGACCTTTGCTGCGGAAGCGGCGTGCAGGCTCGTTGGTGTCTGCAGTCATTCAGTCAGTACAGGTTAATTAGCTAAACCCTAAACCCAGGTTAATTAGGCTCAGTTGGCACATAAACACGAGAGCTTTGGATTTCGGGCCTTCGTCCCCAAACTCGCCCTGAAGCTATACAAACGATCATCTCGAACAGTTTCCATCCCATGCAGCACTCCTTTCTGTGTGGGTTAAGTCCCAAGTCCAGATGCCAGTTGTCTTCAATCCTGGTTGACATACTTCGTGGAAGAAGCCCTTGCATTGCTGTCTCGTCACAAGGACCTACGCTCTAGGTTCTAGACTGCAGCCCTTGAGTACCAAATCATGCTTAAGCCTGAAATCCTGAAATCCGTTAAACCCTAAACTCTGCAGCACTTTCCCGCACAAAGGTATCTCCATTCAAGGTTCAGTGCTTTGGGCCTGGGATTGTTATTCCTTGATGTATGTATGTAGGTAGGTCGATAGGTAGGTATGTATGTATGTATGTATGCATGCATGCCTATGTGTGTATTTTATATTTATATATTTACATTATATACAGTTACGAAACACACGTAGTGAGAGATAGAGAGAGAATCTTTTGCTGGATTGCCACCAAACATCACCGAATCGTAGTCATGACAATGCCGCTCAAATAGGCTCGCAGACCCATGTTCCATGGCTGGGTCCACACCGAGACCGTCCGGCTGAACCATAGCATCCTAAGGGCGAGATCTGCAGAGGTTCAGGGTTCAGGGTTTTGAGGCTTCGGTCGTACTTGGAGGATAATGGGACTTCGTATGTAAGGTTGTAAGTACCCTAATTGGGGTTATAAGTAATTATAAGTCTAGTTACCTTATTTATAACCCTAGTTACTAAGTCCCATGAGCCCTAAACCCTAAACCCTAATCCCTAAATCCCTAATTCTTACGCCCCCTACATTAGGGACCTCCTCCAAGTAGAGGGCGCGGGGAGCGGGACGGATTTCAACGTCTCCCGGCGCCAGGGCATCGTCGCCATGCGAAACTACGCAGCAAGCGCGACCTTTGTGGACCGGTTGAGTGCAACAGAGTGGTCGAACTTCAAGCCATGGGCTTTAGTCAGTATAGTCATAAGTACCTTAATTGGGGTTGCACGTAGCTGTAAGTATTGTTACCTTACTTAAATCCCCAGCTACTAAGTCCCATGAACCTCCAAGCAGAATCCATTCATCAGAGAAGCCCCAGCCCCAAACCCCAAACCCTAAACCCTAAACCCTAAACCCTAAACCCTGAACCCTAAACCCTAAACCCTAAACCCTCACCCCCCAAACTGCGCACCCCTTGGTCCGAACCCCCCCCTGCGCCTTAAGCCAGCTTCGAAAATCTTCGCCTTACAATCCCACGCCTGTGCAGCTCGTTTGCCCTGAGCCTTAGATAGCCTATGGGAGGGCTTCAAACGGTCTAGTGTAGGGGCCGTAGTAATTAGAATAGGGTTTTGGGGTATACTGTACTATACAGTAATTTTAATACAAGAAGGAGCCCCCAATATAGTATCGGTAATTATTAAGGCCTTTTCGGTTTGAACTTTTGTGGGCCTGCTTATGATTTCTCAAGACAGAAGGTGGGTACTCTACCCAGAGCCCAACATCGAAAGAAGCCATAGATGTTGCAGGCGATGTTCTGGAATTAAGCAAAGGCAGTTGCACTCACCGATTACCGAGATGTGTACTTCTAATCCGTGTGTATCCGAAGAGATAATTACAAAGGTTCGGGCGGTCTAAGTTCATGTAAACCCTGGGCGAACTAATGTAAACCCTGGATGCATACACCTTTCCATCTCAAGAGGGATTCTGTCAGACTGGCTGCCCCGATTCAAGGCGTGAAGAAGCGAAGGAATCGAGCCCGCTCTCCGCGGACAATGTGATCAGCAACGCGGCGTTGCCGCCTGATGGCGACGTTCGGACCGCCACGTTTGCAGACAAGAAGGCCAGGGACTGAATCGTGACACAAAGCTCACTCACCTTCAGGACCAAATTACCCTTAAAACCAAGGGCCCTATACCCTTATACTATGAATTCCTATATGGTATATGAACCTTAAACCCTTTTAGGGTTCATTTCGTCTTCAAGGCACTCGCCGGCTCTGAGGCGCCCACATCCCTCCAAGTGTCCTGTTGGACTGGACAGTGGGAGATGGACCATGCGCCCAAGCATGCCTAGATAGCAAGCTGAGCTACGTGGGAGTGTGTTTCCACAGACGCACACAAAGAGAAGTTGTACGAGAGCCTGGCCCAGATCATGCTGGGTGGCATGCGTCAGGAAGGGCATCAGTTCTTCGATGCCGGATTCGCTGAATTCATGGCTATCCCAGAGGGTCCAAGTACCAATATAGTATCTATAGCCTATAGCTACTTAGATATTTGGGTCCCTAAACCCTAAACCCTAAACCCTAAACCCTAAACATACTATACTATTACTTGGACCCTTTGGGTATGAGAGCTGCTGACCTGGCTCCAGGCGACAACACCACCGCGTCGTCTGGCCACGACCTGGACGTGGTGCTCTGGAGGTTTAGGGGTTTAGGGTTTAGGGTTTAGGGTTTAGGGTTAATTACCAATAAATTAGGGCTTATAGGGTTTAGGGTATTCCTTAGGGTTCCTTAGATACTACAAAGAAGCCCAAAACCCTACGCTAATTATTCAGGCTCATTTATCAGGGGTCTGCATTATGCTGCTTCAGCACACACAAGCAATCCAAAAGCCCACAATGGACGCATCGTGGCCTTAAACGGGGGTGTCTAAGGGTCCGCATTAGCTTTCGGTTTACGTTTTGATACGTCGGGGCTGCCAGATCTCATTTTGCAATGATTTGGGTTCGAAGCTTAGGGATGTTCACTGCTTGGCAAATTAGGGCACGGCATGTCCATGGATTGATCGAAACCAGGCAGATCAAGAATCAGAGATCCAATGTAAATAGCTTCGAAGCACTTTTTACCCGCCTAAAACCTAAATGCTCAAAGCCCCCCATAGTGCTTTGCACATGCTTGAATGAATAAATAATTCCACATCCACCGCCAAAAGCCTCACCGTCAAACGTCAACCACATCAAAACCTCATGCAGCCCTATGAAACTCCCATGAAGCTGTGATATCAATCATCTCAAGCCCATATTTAAAAAGGCGCTCCTTGCACCCTTAACGCAAACCCTATACAAGAATCCCTTTACTATATGTTTACGGCCCTACTGTTGATGAGTTGATGATATAAATCCTGCATTACCTTAAGGACCCTAAACTATCGGAATTATGGCATACTCCTCTTTATGGGTAGTGCAGGATTCATATCATCAGCCCCACGACTATAATCCCTAAACCCCTACCTAGACCCCAAAGAACCTACATCTTTAA